GCTCCGGACGTGGTGGCGCCCCTCTGCTTCCACCTCGATAGCGCGCTGGTCGGGGTTCTCATAGGTAATAAGGACTGCACCCCCACCCCCCAGGTGCTTGGCCTGGGCCGTGGAGAGGTTTGCTCCTGCGGGACAGTGCCCCGAGGAGGTGCATCGCTGCCTTCCCTCTCCCTGGCCGTGGAAGGGCCCCAGCCCCTTATATTTCTCACCCCTGGGGCTGGCAGGATGTTTTTGCAGGGTACTGGCTGAAGAACGGAGCTCTCGCACTTGCCAGGGTATCTGAGTTTTTCCTCTCTGAAGTGGTTGGGTCGATGTCTGTTTCTTATGGCCAGCAGTCTGTAAGTGGGCTGAAGCCCCTCTCTAGTCCCGTGGAGGAAGGGCGGCCCTCTTTTGAACTGGTTTTGCTGCTCCATCTTTTCAACTGAGGTACCTTCCCCTGCCACCTGCACCTTGTGTTCGGTTAACTGCAAAAAAAAGTTTCCCGCATTTTCCAGCGGAGTGGTGTCACAGTTCTCTTATCTATGGATGCATGCACTCATATGAAGGTCTTAAGTTTTGATCCCAGCTAAAATAGTTAGTGTGTATAGTTTTTGACAGTTTGGCCTGAATCTCTGTAATAGCTGCAATGTATCTTTATAACAGGTCGGGGCGGAGCTAAAATAAAAGAACTGCAGGATTCTTCGGGTTCCAGGATAAAGGTACCATGTGCTGTGTGTCATCCAGGCCTGCACTTTGTTTGGTTTTGTTACCATGTAAACCAGAGTTACTGCACTAAGTCGAAGGGTGTTGCAATAGCTGTAATAATTCCACTGTTTTACAAGAATTAGTAGAAAGGAAGTAGAATTGAGGGTGCAACTTGGCTGGTATGTGAAAGTAGGAAAAGCTTACTGATATTTTTTTTTTTTAATCCCTTAATTATGCTTGTATTTAACTTTCTTTTAGAAAGGGAGTTAAAGGGTCTTTTCCTGGGAAAAGAAGTTAAAATGCAGGAAAAATAAAACCTGAAGATGTATTTTTTTTGTATAATGTTTCTCTTTGCAGTATTAAAAAAAAACTCAGTAAGGTTTTATGAACATAGGTTATAAAGGGAACCTATGAAGCGGAAGTAAAGATTTTTGGCAGTGTTGCTGTTCAAAACAAAGCCAAGATGTTGATTGATGATACTATTACAAGATCTGGACAAAACTACATTAGAGGTGGGACTGAAAAAGGTAAGAAATGTGGGGTTTTGTGGTTTTTTTTTTTTAAAAAAAAAGGCCTATGGATTGCCTTTCCATATATTTGGTAGTTTGCTGAAGTGTTTTTATATTATTAGTATTTTACTGAAGTAAATTAACTTTCACCTTGTTCCTGGACAATGGCATACCTCCTTCAAACAGAAATATCTAGACATCCTCCTTTTCTCAGCTTTGAACAGTTTCCCTCCTTAAACTGCCAATCTTCTGTGAAAAGCTCTTCCTGTATGTTTTTAACAGTTTTAATGAATGCAGAGTGTTACACTACTTGGGTTCGTGCATTATCAGTCTGATTCCCTCAAAATACAAGTATTGGTTCTAGTTTAAGTTTTAATGAAGTATCTGTGCAGTATTAAAATTGAATAGGCTTTTATAAACATAGTCTATAAAGCAAACTTACTGATTATAACATGGATGATGCTGACTCCTTACTGCTATAATGGGAAGTTAGCATTTAAAATTTGGTGTTGCACATCATGCCTCGTTTTATTAGGCGTTATTGATTTAACTTTGTTGTATGGATATACAAGTAATGATTGTATGTTGAGATGCTGCTTATGTTATTGGTATTTGTCTTGTACATGCTCCCGACGACTATTTGCACAGACAGACAACATCCATAGTTGTTGATCTCGGGCACTGATGAGGCAGAAGGGATCAGAGAGTTGTGTTCCAGGGTTAGAATAAGGAACAGGGTAGTTGTGAGTTCTGATTTTATTTTTTCTAGAAGTGCCCCGGAAGGTAGACCAGTATGCTTCAAGAGGCTAGAAGTAGTTAACACTTCCTTAGCATGTATGACTCTTCCCCATGTTTCCTGCTTTTCCATTAATACGTAGTTGTATTGACATTTATTTCTTCAGTGTGAAAAACTTTTTCTTAAGAGGTGTTAACCTCATCAAAAAAGGAGTATAGAGTGTAACTACACTGAAACTTTATTGTGGTGTCGTTGGATGCTTTAGAAGTAAACCTTGCTCTTGTAGCTGTTAAAAATAAAGCTTTCTGTTTCCTTATCATCTGTTGGATTCACAAGTTTTCCAAAACCTGCTGCACAGCAAGCCTTGTAGCTGGAGGAGCAGCATTTTGGAATCTGTCATTACTCTTTTTAAGTAGCTAAAAATGTTGAAATGCTTCTTTTTTTTTTTTCATCAGAACCAGGTTTGTACAGGTTTTACTGATATTTCAGGCTAAGACCTAGGAAATAATTTTCTATTTAAATGCTTCATGTCTATTCAAAAGCACAGTAGAGGCCTTAAAATAGAAAAAGAAAATGAGGTGTTTGTTTTGAGGGGGGTTCTCCCCCACCCTGCAACAGCTTCCATCAATCAGCAGCATTTTGATACTCACTCCACAGGAAAAACCTTCGACATTATCAAGCCTGAAAATAACCCAAAGAAATCTGTGATTAACTGGGCCTCCCTTCGAGAAAACAAAGCGAAATACGAAACTATGAAGTGGGCAGGTTAGTTGTTAAATTTTGATTGTGTGGTACTTCTCTTTGTATGATGAATCTGTTGAATGCTTAAACGTTTCTAATTTTTAATGACTGAATCTTTCAGTGTCCAAATCAGTTAGGTATTTGCAGTGCAGTGACCGTGTCAGCATTTCTCAGCATGGTCATGGAGGACACTGTAGTTGCCATATGAAGACTTAAACTTGCTACTCATTTGGTATTGTGACTTCAGCCTTTGAAAATGGTGTTGTTTTGTACGTGGCCATAGCAAAAATCTGAGAATTGTTACATATTATACCATATATATTGGTAGAAATTACTTTAGAACTTGAAATGTGGGGAGGTGTTTCTTTTGCGGATACTGAAATGTTTGTTTCTGCTTTCATCTTCTATATGAACTACAATAGTCTTCCACCATTTTTGACTAGTCTCCTAGTACGAGATGCTGTCTGGGTTGGGGATTTCAATCTTAAACTTCAGCAGACTTACCCACAATCTGTAGCATTTCTTACTCACTCAAGTTACTTTTTGTGATTGTGTAAGGCTTGCCTCCAATTGAGAAAAACTTCTATAAAGAATCATCAGGGACTGCATCTATGTCACAAGAAGAAGTGGAACTGTGGCGGTAAGATCATTTCTGTAGGGAATCATCTGTTTGGCAAAAATAAGTATTACGGTGTAAAGCCTAGAAAGTGAGAGATGAAATCCTGAGGCAGAAGCGTTAATGTTAGTGTCTTGTAATAACTTGGATCTTCTTAGGAACTCATTTCTTAGGAATTAAACAATAACTAGCAGAGGAGGTATTGTTTGTTGCTTGGATAATTAACTTTAGTGATTAACAGCTTCTCTAAAAGTCTTTGATCTAGTTGATGTTCAGAAGGGAAGAAGATAAAAACAGTTTATTGGCTTTTGTCTGTTTCTTTGCATTTCATGAGACAGCATGTTCAAGTGTTCTAGGTCCTTCCAAATACGATTATTCATGTGTTGACAACCTCTTGGCTGCCATTTTTTTTCCCCATGTATTTTAGTCAAATACCATCTTCAAAACAAATTTAAACTTGTATTATTCTTGTCTTCCTATCTGTCTGTCTTGTCTTTGCAAATATGTATTGGTGAGTACATGCCTCAGTTAGCTGTACCCATTCATTTTGGTCCAGCAATCTACATCATTACTTTGCCAGAAAAGCAGGTCATCTGTTTCAAGTGAGTCTGTTCAGGCTTTGATAATAGTTTCAACCTTTTTCAGTAGTTCTAGTGAAGTTGGTGAACATTCTGAAGCATTACCTTTTATTACTCGTCTTTTTGCATATTTGCATAGTGTCTTTTTTTTTTTCTCTTGCATGAGTGCCAGAGAAACGTTGCCACAGTGAGTGAAGTATGGAATTGACACCTGTTTCCTTAAAGTCTATGCATGTGTTATTGTTAGGGCTAGTCAAGAGCAACAGAACGTTGTTCTGTAGGTTCAGAACATGCATTGAGGAATAGCACTTGTGTGATAAAGGAATGTTTTTTCCTTTTTCATCTAATCTGTTTACTTTAAGGGAAAAAAGACAGTAATTGGGGGAAAAAAATATTTTTGTAAATATGAGCAGTTGAATTACCCATTCTTTCCATAGCCCACACCCTGCTTGAAGTAGAACTGTTTGCTAAATGGAATCTTCAGAAGAGTACAGGACTGGAATGAAGATAAACTACTTATGCATATTAATACCTGTTAATTGAGCGGAGCCTCAGAACCTCAGTTTTTAATGTAGCTTTTTGTGTATGTTGGTTTGGGTTTTGTGGGGGTTTTTTTTGGAGTTTGTCTTATTGACCACTTTTTTTTTTTAAAAAAAAAACTATTCTGTTTGTATTTTCTAGAGCATCCAGAGACCTACTCTGAAAATACTTCAGGAAGGCTTTTGTCAAGATATAGGGTTCTGACAAAAGTCTAATCATTTCTTTGAGTTCTGAATTCTTTAGGTTTAAAAACTCATCACAGTTATTTAATTTATAATAGAGTATAACTGAAGTCTGATACGACAGGACTGCAGTTCATAATAACCATATATAACTTCAAATTAGTCATTTTTAAGAAAGATTGATTTTTTATTTTTTTTTCTTAATTGATGCCTGCAGGAGAAGTGTTTCTGTACTAAGGCTTTCTCAAAAATTAGAAGAGTAGTTGTAAGTCTCATTCAAAAGCTTGAACTTTTTTTGTTATTCCAGGAATTAAAAACCCCAAAAGTCAGAAAGGCAGTCTTTTGTGTTAGCTCTAGTTTTTCAGACAATGAGATTTTAAAGCAATTGCACTTCTTTAATTCTATACAGGAAAGAAAATAATAATATAATTTGTGATGACTTAAAAGAAGGTGAAAAACGCTGCATTCCCAATCCTGTTCGTAAATATGAAGATGTATTTGAGCATTATCCTGATATTATGGCTAATATCAGAAAAGCTGGTTTTCAGAAGCCTACACCAATTCAGGTATTTCTTCAGTTTTGATGACCCCTTAACTGAAGCTTAAGAGAAAAGTACATTTAAGTATTTGTGGTTTTATGTTAGTCCCAGGCATGGCCGATCATACTGCAAGGAATTGATCTTATTGGCATAGCACAGACTGGCACCGGGAAGACATTAGCATACTTAATGCCTGGATTCATTCACTTGACTTCACAACCAATGTAAGGACTGCTCACATGCCTGACTTGTTTAGCTGTGGGTACTTCCCCCTGTCCCCACCTGCCATGTGATGGTTTTCTAGTAAAGAAGATAATAAATCATAAATTGGAAAAGAAATTATAAACCTGGCAGAATAAGTACCAAATTTGTCACCATAGATTCTGTTAGTAGCAATGTACTGAGAAAGTCTAGAGCAGTACAAAAGTAGTCAATGTCAGATGTGAGGGACGTTGCCTAGCCTTATATTCCCACATTGTAAAGATGCTTTATTGCAGACCCAAAGATCAGCGTGGGGGGCCAGGAATGTTAGTCCTTGCTCCCACTCGAGAACTGGCACTTCAAGTAGAGGCAGAGTGTTCGAAGTACACATACAAAGGAATTAAAAGGTAATCTTAGTTCTCGCTTGCTAAGTAATTTTGTTTTCCTACCACTCGTGGCTTAATTCACCTACTAAAATAATTGCATTTACTAAGAGAGATAGGGAAAGTAGTAAGTGCAGAGTTTGTATTTTCCACATTTTTGGAATGCCTGTTTTGACTACTGTCATAGTGAAAATCTATTTCTTACACAGTTGGAGTTTGCTGTATTGTAGCTTTGTTGCTTCTTGTTCTTCTGTCTCATGCAGGCAGCTGAGTCTGGCTGTGTCTTCTAGGCATCTTGCTGTTAGGTAGTTGTAGACAGTAATAAGGTCTCCCTGAGCCTTCTCCTCTTCAGGCTGAATAAGCCTGGTCACCAGCTTCTCACGTCATGCATTCCATCCTCTTGACCACCTTGGTAGCTGCCTGCTGGACTTGCTCCAGTACAGATATGTCTGTCTTGTAATAGAGGCAGGGGGTATAAAAACTGGATGGTGTGCTTGAGGTGTGCTTTCAAAAGTATTGAATAAAGGGGAATAATGGGTACTCTTAATGTGCTGGCTACCTTCACAGTGCACAGCCAGCTGTCTTTTCTGTAGGGTTACGCTGCTGAATAATACTCAGTTTCTTGTCCACCCACGTCTTTCTGCAAAGTCATCTTCTAGCATATTGGCCCTCTGCCATGGGGTAGTTCCATCCCTGACTTTGCTTTTGTTAAACTTCGTGGGATTCCTGTCAGCCTGTTTCTCTAGACTTTTGTGGTTCTTCTGAATAACAGCCTAGCCCTCTAGTGTGTCGACTTCTCCTCTAATTTGTTTTCATCCACAAACCTGCCGAGAGTGTACATCTTCATTTAAGCTATTAAACAAACACTGCTGTACTCCGAAACTTACTTTTATGGCTCTCTGGTAACTTTGTATAGCATTCAGAATTAGTCTTATAGTCATCAAATACTGAAATGCGCCTTCTGTGTCCTTCCCAAAAGTACTAAGGAGTTTTACAGAGCGTGTTAAGTTTGTGCGTAAGCCAAATACCTTATGGAGTGCGTGGATTAGTTTAATAGCAAAACATCTGACTTCTGCTGGTACCGTTTAGAAAATCATGCATCCTTTCATACGTTCATCTATTTTTGGTATGAATATTTTCAGAACAACCTAAAATGTACTTGTAGCTTAATAGCTATCTTCCTTCCTTTCATGATTGCTTTTGCTGCAGTTTCAGCAGAAAGCTATTCCTGAACTGTTGAAGGAACATCGTTCAGTGCTAAGTCCGTTATTTACTGTGAGACTTCAGTCACACTTACTGTATTTCTTCCTCTTGGTAATACCAAATGATACTTTTTAAAAGGAAGCAACTTGTTGGCATTTGTTTGAAAAAGATTGACTTTAGTTGAACCTTAAGATACTGCTTCTGTAAAACATCTTATTTTTCAGTATTTGCATCTATGGTGGTGGGGACCGAAAAGGACAGATAGACGTGGTTACCAAAGGTGTGGATATTGTTATTGCTACTCCTGGCAGACTGAATGATCTTCAAATGAACAACTTCATAAATTTGAAGAGCATAACATACTTGGCAAGTAGCTGATACTGAGTGAATAATGCAGCAGTTGGGAAATGGTTGACTTACTGTGAACCTCAGCTTTAATGGAGTTTTCTTAAAAAATTTGAAGACTTAATTACAGTACATCATAATATTACAATTGGTGTTGGAGGGATGGGTCATACTTACCATAATTACATTGCAGATGTGGAATATTCCCTAGAAAAAAATAAAATAGGCTTCTAGCACAGTAAGCATTTAAGATGCTAAATTGTTATCTTATATTAATGTTTGCTGGTTTAAAGTTCATTTTGTCAGGATCAGTTATTAATGGATGAAATGCCTTTCCCAAGTTGTCTTTACCTTTTATCTGTAAAGGTTACCTGTGACTGAAGTTCTAACAAGAACTTCTGCATTAAGCACCTGAGTTGTAAACAGTTAAATACTTGGATGTTTGGTTGACTGACTTTCTTTTGATCTCACTGGGAAAATAGCCGTGTAAACATGGTTATGAATCCTTCTGTCTTCATTTCATTCTTGCATTTTGCTGTGCTGGACACGTAAAACCATTGCTATTTTGTTAAATACTCTCATATATTCAAATTATTTCTTGAGTCATCTGTTTAACCTGTGACTTGTTGCCTAGTTTGACTGTGGCCTGCTTTCTCTGCCTTATCTCCACTCCCTCTTAAGGGTTAAATACCCATTATGCTGTAAGAAGTTAGCTCCCTTTCTGGCTGATAGTTGTGAGCTTACTGGCAAGGCCAGTGGTGGTACAGCATGATTAGAAATTTGGCTATCTGGAAAAAAAGAATATTACTGGAAGACAGGAGAGTAGCTTCATGTAGAAGAGTAACATGCAATTGCTAAGCAGGAGGAAAAAAGATCTGAAAACCTGCTTTCTGAGAGCTATAGGAGAGTTAGTAATCTTCCTCTACCAAGGTGAAATACGGTCATACTACAAGTGCGCACTGCTTTGTACGCCAAAGAATACGTAACCAAAATCAGGTGTTTCTGTATATGGAGGATATACCATAGTACGACATTACTAAAAAGAATTAGCTATCAAATTGAAAAATATGGTGATGTAAAGCAGGAGAAAAACATTTGTTGTTGTTCTGCTAGCAGTTAAATATTTTCAGAAGACTGAAATTGGTGCAAGGATAATATTTTGCAAAGTGGTTAATGTCTCATGCCTCAGACTCTAGAGATGGCTGTGCTTCTTAAGGTCCCATATGAAAAGTTGGACATACAAAATTCTTTTTTTAATGTTACCGTATATTCTTCCTTGTAGTTTCTTGTACTTTTTAATATATAAGATGGCTTCTGTTTCCACAACTTCATTGTCAATTTTCAGCCAACAAATAATTTAATCTTGCAGCCTTACCTCAGTGAAAAGAGAGGGGTGTTAGATTTCAATTTTAATACCTTGGATGAAGAACGCTCTTCATTGAAGAGCTTCGTTTAAAGTTTTCATTTAAAGATATTGATGAGTCTTGTGAATGCTCCCAAAGTGCACTGAGTATTATTTGCTGGTATGATATAATTGTTTCCCAAAGACTTCCTAGGTTAGAGACTGGGATGCAATTGTTTATAAAAAATCCAAAACTCTGTTAGAGTTAGTTATATTTGAATATACACTGTACATAAGGTGAGTTGAAGGCAGGGAATTTGTCGTCTTGGCTGACAAAACCATCAAGTTAGTTGCAGTCTCGATTCAGAATTTTAGGAACCCATTATTCAAGATAGGCTGCTAGTTTTCATTATTTCAGACTGGGAAATTCTGTCATATGTGGCCTTCTGATTGTTTACAAAACATGTTGTTTGAAGATTCCTTTCTGGTTTGGTGTGTTCAGTATAAATCAGTGTTCATTCATCAGTAATCTGAGTGCTTTCTTCTTTTGACCTTGTGCTCATAAAGCAGAATTAAGGATGTTGGAGTTCTGTGTGAATAATTCGGAAGTGTATAGGGGAAAGTATACTAAAAAAATATATATAAATCATGAAGTAGGATATAGAAGGTAGACTGAAGGAGTCCTTTTGTTCTTCAAATACAAAAAGTGTAAAACTTACGAATAACTAATTCAAAACAGAGGAAAGAAAATAATTTTCACATTAAGAATGGGCTTGTAAGAATTTTTTTGCCAAGAAATAGGACAGAAATTAATAATATTAACAAACAAGTAATAGATAACAAGATAACCTGAGGTTACATCAGTTAGGGGGAGATTTAGCTTATAAACCAGGACCTGGCTGTGAGGCATTTGGAAAAAATCATGTTAATATCTGTCTTATATCCATTGCAGCCTTTATTCTTTATTAAGCAACTATCAGAAATAAGGTAACCTTCAGCTATGATCCATCTAATACACATACTTACACACTTTCTTCTGCCTTTCCAGCAAAGTACCCATGAGCTTCATAGCTTAGAAAGCAGCTGCTGCTGAAAGGGGTGTAGTAGCCAACTGTGAATATAAAATTAGTGAAGTTTCAGCCTTGCCATTGTATTAGAATCCAAGCAGTAAATTAAATCTCCGTGAGTCTTTTGAAAATAGAGAAATCAAGAAATCTTATTCTTGTCTTCTGTCTCTCAGCTGATGATTTGTTGTTATTTCAGAGATTAACATAGGTAATGTACTGAAAACCTTTAATAATAGAATAAAACATCTGAAAAGTATGGAACAGCAAAATCGGAACAGGACAGAGGGATTATCATCAAAATCTTATGTTTCCCCATAAGTGACTAGAAAATGTCAATACTTAAAAGCATGATCCATGTAACTTTGATTTATATAAATTCCATTTGAAAATTAGAGGAGAAAAATGAGTCTTGGATGGCAGCCTTCTTCCTTTGCATGGGACTCTGAAAACATTCACAAGAGTGCTTGCATATTAGAAAAAAAGATTGACTCCAAATAGTTGTACTCAGACCTTGAGCTCACTTGTTCCTTCTGGCAGAAAAACCAAAAGAGAACAAGTTTGAGCTCTGGGATTTATGCAGTGTCCTAGCATGAGCCAGAATGCATGGTCTGGCTTTTTACCTACTTCTAATGAAGAACTGAATTGATAACTGGTATTTTGATTTGGTATGAGAACTCTAACAAGGTAGAAATGAGATTTCCACTTTAAATTACCACAAATTTCTTACTGAAATTTTGTTGTGTGGGATCTGTGTCCCTGTTGCCCCCCATGCCCCCACACACACACCCCAGTTTGTTTGGTGTTAGTTTGGTTGTTTTAATTCTGTGCTTAGTTTCAGGCACCAACCAAATTATTGTTCAAACAAACAATTGTTTCTTCTTTGCTGACTTAAAGTGCTTTTAAAGGTGCTGTGGATTTTCTTCTTCTGCCTGCAAGTGTATTACTAGAAGCTTCAAGGAAGTTGAAGAGGTGAAATAGAAGTTGAACAGGTCTTGCAATACATTATGGAGTGGATTCTGCAGTTAGAATTGTTATCATTAAAATAGGCTGCTATATAATGTCTTGCTGAAACCCTTGTCTAAGGAACTAGACGCAATAAATAACCTTGTTCTGAGCAGGTGTTAGATGAGGCTGACAGAATGTTGGATATGGGATTTGAACCTCAGATACTGAAGATACTGCTAGATGTGCGACCTGACAGACAAACTGTTATGACAAGGTATGTAAACATAATAGTGCTTAGTACTTGAACACTGTAATCATGAGGTCATTGAACAAGTTAACTTCAAAACAAATGTGTCAGGCTAGTAAAAGTTCTAATAAAACTAAATGGGAACGGCATCAATTTTCTTTCTAATTCTGTCTAGTCAGTCCTAATGAGTCATTTAACAATTTTATTTTCATTTCGTACTCATTTTCTGATGTTTTACATCAAATGTAAAAACAACTGAGTTCTTCACAAAAAGGAAGGTGTCCTGGGTGTGCTAGAATTTGCCAGACGAATTTGAAATGCCAACTTCTGCTTCTCCATCTGGGACCAAACGTGTATCCTAACCTTCTGATCAGTATCTATGCTAGTCTGTACCTGGATCAGTTTTGAAATTATGCAGCTTTGCAGGGCTTAGCAACAGAATATCCCAACAGTAATTTTTGTTGTCGTATTTTGCATTGGAGATACTGTTTCAGAGATAAAAATGGCCTAGAAACTTGCTTACTAGGTATCATCGAACTACTAAACTCTCTTCTGGCTTCATTAGGACGGCTCTGTAACTGTTGCCTGTACTTTTAACCTAGAAAGTTATCTTGAAAGCTTGAGTGCTGTTTACTAACAACTCCTTGAGATTATTTCTAAATGTTATATGAGCTCACTGTTTCTGCATACTCAAGTGTTTCACTGGTGTCTAAGAAAGAAAAGAAAGAAGAGTATGATGAAATTAATGAATTAGAGAAGATTTTGCGTTCTATTCTCGTGTGTGTTTTCCTCTTCACTTTCTGTTTAGTGCTACTTGGCCTGATGGTGTTCGTCGCCTAGCGAAATCCTATTTGAAAAATCCTATGATTGTGTATGTTGGCACTCTTGACTTAACGGTAAGTTGTTCTACTTAGCAGGAAGTTTTCTGTTCCTTTTTTTTTCCTCTTTTGGAGAAGAACCAGGAAATATTTTGCTTGTAACTATATGTGAGTAAATGCATGTAACTTTGAAATCAATCCAAACATCTAAAAACCAGCTCCATATTATTCTTTTAAAACTTCATTATAAGTTTTGAAAGAATGAGGGGAAAAAAAAAAGTAGAGAACTTTGTTCTTATGTTTTTGTAACAAGATCTTGAAGCCCTAGGTCCTCGGTCACAAGCGACAAGTGTCAATCAGATTGAAGTTTGAACATTGTACTTCGCAGTGCCTGTGGTGTTGCCTGAACCCTTGTTTCTGCAGCTTTCACTTTTGTTCAGCATATTATTGCTCCTCACATTTCCTTCTGAAGGTTTTCCTTCTAACCTGTACAGATTCTTTCCTGGATCTGTGTTTCATAACTACTGCTTTCTCAAAGAGAGTACCGAACTCCTGGAGGGCACGTGTATAGAGCAGGAAGTTATCTGTTAGAGTAAGAACTGTCTTTAGATTCCAAAGCTTCTGACAGGTAGATGTGGTTGTGTACTTGTCATGCCCATGCAGCTACGCGTAGTTGTCTTCCGTACCAACAGCGTTTACAGAAATAGTAGTTCTTCCAAGATCTCTGCATCCTGGTCCAGAGATTGCTTTGAGTTTGGTTCTTAAATTATGAAGTTTTCCTTTTTGTTTCCATTTTTTTAGTGACAGGGAATGAGGAAACTTAGTATCCAATACACTTTTAGGTAGAAATAGGGGGAAAATGTACTTTGTTCTGTTCAGAGCTAAGCTTTTGTCAAAGGGCATTACTTGCCAAAGGCAGGATCAGAATTTGAAAGATATCAACTGCTAATTGTCACTCACTTGTCCAACGAGTTCATCTCTCCTCCAGGGGCTTCTCTTAATTGGAGAGGTGACCTCTGGGGAGGAGGGGGAAGTGTTGTCCTGTGGAGAGAGAATCTTTGTGTACTTGATGGATTCTTCAGCCCTTGACACAAGATCATAGTGCAGTGCCATGGGAATGTCTAGACCTTTATATTGCTTATGTAGAATACCTGAGACATTCTATGACAACCTTCAAATGTAATGGAGTAAAGTGTTTATGAACAAACTGTCGTTGGAAGAATTGGACAGAACTGACAGTTTCAAATTGATTACAGAATCTTCTTTAAAAGCTTGTCCTTTCAAGTAAGACTGCCATTGTTCCAACTTTGCTCTGGATTAATGTAAAATATACTCAAAGTGCCTCAATCTGATTTGCATTAGTATTGGGAATATTTCTTTTACTTAACATCCCTTTTTGCTGTTTAACAGGCAGTAGATACAGTAGAACAGAGAGTTGTTGTTGTTGCCGAGGAGGAGAAGAGAGCTTTGATGCAATGCTTCATTGACTCTATGAAGCCAAAAGATAAGGTCATCATTTTTGTGGGAAAAAAACTTACGTATGTAATCACTTCCCAGTTTTACATCTGTTCATTTTTTTTCAAGCAGAAATACTGAATAGTTTCCTAGCTCATGTAATAATTACCAAGCGTAACAGCTCTTGTCAACAATGTGCTGGCAGTCCTAGTATTTTTATTTATTTATTCATTCCTTCAGACTGACTGGTAGCTTGTATCCTTTTTAATATCATTTAACTGTGGTGGTAAATCTCAATTTCACACAGTTAAAGTAGTTGTTAAGACTCTTGGGGATACATTAATACGATGAACTGTTTACTTTCATATGCAGCTGGTGCATGCAAGAGCTGATTGGGGGTGGGGTGGTCCATAGCACCATACCTGAGCTTTTTGAGTGAACAACACAAAAATCATTGGTTAATTCTGCTTATGTATAAACAAAAGCAAATGTATATGTGGGCAGTAGTCTTGCTTTCATACTATTTTATAATAAATATCAGCTGACCTAGGTAGGGTTTTGTCCTTAGGGACATGTTTAGCTCTTGTTGTCTCATTATTATCTTCTGGATCTAAATCTAGATGCTGCACTTTTCTACTTAAGAACCATTGTTTTATTTCATCCTAGAGCTGATGACTTAGCAAGCGACTTCAGTCTACAAGGAATTCCAGTACAGTCGCTCCATGGTGACAGGGAACAGTATGATCGAGAACAGGCTTTAGATGACTTCAAGAAAGGTATGTTTGTACCGAAGTAGTGTTTGTTTAGCCCAGATTTTTAAAGCTTCTCATGTGCAGAACTTTGTCTATTTAGTTTGAAAAGCAAAAAAAAACCCCAGCAAACAAAAAGAAATTGCTCTTCAATAAAATTTTGAATGTCTAGGAGTTAAATAATTTAAAGTAAGGCTTACTTTATTTTTGAAATCTCTGTGGAAAAGTCAATATTGTGTTACTGTACAGAACAGTAAAGTTGTGATAAATGATGATGCTTTCAGTGAAACAGTTTGGCTCTTGATTAACCAGTAGGGTTATGTGATCAAATGCTGATAAAACAGAGTAGTCCTATGATAAAGATGCCAGCTGAGAATATGGTTGTTGAAGTTTCTGTTCCTTTCACAGACTCAGGCATGTTTCTTGCTTTTGCACCCTGCTGTTCTACTTGTGAAATAGAAATAATAGTAAAAATGACATTTTGAGTGCTTGCTCACCACCTTGTATTTGAAGCTAACTCAATGTGACACGCAACAAGCGTATGTTCTTTATGTGTTAAGAATAAGTGTGCTATACGCTAGAAAACCAATAGACTGGAGTGTATTTTCTGTTTATTCCTTAAGCTGCCCTTCTCTCTCTGTTGTACTTGTTTTAGGCAAAGTCAGAATACTGGTAGCTACTGACTTGGCATCCCGTGGCCTTGATGTCCATGATATTACCCATGTTTTTAACTTTGACTTCCCTCGCAACATTGAAGAATATGTTCATAGAATAGGCCGTACTGGAAGAGCAGGGTAAGTGTTCACAAGAAAATAGTGATACATTGTGTAGATGTTTCTTTTGTCAAATGCTAGAGCTACAGGTGATGCAGAGTGGGGGAGTGAAGACTCCAGAGTCTATCAAAGTATGTTTTGGGTAATAACACACTGCTTTACATTTTGAAATTAGTTCACTGTTAAATTTCTGGCAAACAAGTTCTCCTCTTCTCTGTTATTTCACTGTAGTGGATGGGAATGAGGGATGTTTGAAGCTGGTTTAAATGTGGGGAAAAATTACAGTACAAAACAACTTCTGTGTCAGTATTCTGAAATGTCACTTCCTTGTTTGTCCCTTCATGAGCCACTGAGTTGTTTAGTTTCCTAGACAGCCCATGGGAAAAACGTATACAAGTTCAAGGTTTTCAGCCTATCATGGTGGTGTAATTTGATGTTAGGACTTTTGAGTGCTGCTCTCCCAGGTTGGCACAACTGTGATTTTTCTTGTGTGTGTGTGTTTATTTTAATCATGATATGAATGTACATCTCTTCATACTTAAGTATTTTGTCTTTATGCTAGGTTTATTGTCTAAAGTCTGAATTAGTTGTGCCTCTGCCTTATTTTAGAATTGCCATAACCTGGTCTTTATGAAAAGTTGCTTTCTGTCATATGCATAGTAAATACTCAAGCCAGTTTTATCTACCAGTTCAATCATATTGCTTGTAGAACAATTAATTACTGTATAGCTCAGTAGGAAAAGCTGAGCAGCAGTCGTTTGGAAGACCAGCAGTTGTTTCATTCCTTGTTTAGACGTACCGGGGAGGCAGTAACACTTGTCACAAAGAATGATTGGAGAGTTGCATCTGAGCTGATTGAAATTCTGGAAAGAGCAAACCAAGTAAGAATACATCTTACTGGGTAAGACTTATATTGATTCTGGGTTACCACCTGGAACAGTTCATGAAGGTTTAAGCCTACTTAGACCTTTCTTGGCGAGTGTAGTGTCTGGGGCAAAAAATGGGTACGTAAGTCTCTCTTCTCCTGGATATCCTTAGCTGCAGTTTACCTTACAGTTGAGTCACAGAAAAGACCTGGGAACTTTAATCAAAGCCTTCTACTTCCAAAGAAAAAGTAGCAAACATACGTCCACACAGAGGTCTGCAGAGGAATAATAGGATCTATTTTATTTCGTAGTATTTTATTCCAGTGTTTCACTTCTGGGTGCAGGTACCAATGTTCTTGTTTGACAGTGCAAATATTAACAGTATTTATATCAGAAGCTCAGCTGTTTTTCGGTTTGTTACATCTGACAGTTGTGATATCTGCATGTACTTTGCCAAGCTATCTTTCTTACAGATTTACTTTGTAAATAGTTTGGGAAATAGGACTGAAATGCTATTTGGCTTTTTATTTTTTTTTCTTGCTACCGTATCTGAGAAGCCAGACACAATTATGTTGTTGTTTCTTGCTGTAACAAGAAACAGTATTTTGTCTGATTTATAGTAAACTCCCATTTCATGCCCTGACTTGAGGTGCAATTTTATTTTTTTCATTTGAGGGGTTGGGAGTTCGAGTACAAACTAAATTGCTTTTACCTAGGACCTGTGGTTGTTAATGCTTACTCAAACTTTAAATGGCAAGTTAGAACGTCACCTGAATTTCCTGGTTTAAAACTCTTCTTTGAAAGTTATGCCAGTTATTGCAAACCTGGGAAGATGTTTTTGAGGGTGAAAAGGGACGGGGGGACACACATTTGTCCACAAATAACTTCTTAAAATTGCAGGTTTGAGGGGGAGGGTTATGGTTCGTTTGGTTTGGTTTTTTGGGGGGAGGATGGTTAGAAAGTGTAAGAAATTAAGCCAGTAATTAAACTTCGAGGCCACTCAAGTAGAACTTAAGAGATGCCTCGTTCTGTATTCTGCGTCGGCCATTACCATCCATGCCTTGTCTCCTGCTGCAGACTGAAGTTTCTATCTAATGTGTGATAGTTCAGCTGGGAACAGGTCTCTCAGTTCAGAGGATGAAAGAGCATCTCTGAATCCTTACTTCCCAGGGTAATTGTTAGTCACAACGTTATTCTCAAACTTCTAGTTATAGCTGGTAGAAGGGAAGTATCCATACAGACAGGGTTCTTCTTGTCATCGTGACAAAAATATTATTACTTCAGTCTTAAAGTGTCATGTAAAAGGGAACAGAGCAACTGAAAGTATGGTCTGAAGGTTCAGAGTACTTCCATTTCAAAACAAGTAAAGTGCGTTTGTTAGCCACATGATCTGCATTATTTTAAATGTACAGATAATCTCCCTAAAGAAAAACAGGTACAAAAGATTTCTGTGTCATGCTGCAGGGATCTTTACATATAAGCTTATTAAGAAGCATGGATGGATTTATTAGGGAATCAGCTGGAAAAAGACTGATCTCTGTAATACCAAGAAGAGTAATACATACAAATTACGCCATCTTTGTCCTCTGTTTTCTCATTTGGACTACCATACCTAGCTTACGTGCTTAGCAGGTACAGATTGTCCACATAAAAATCTCAACAAACCACTAGATGCTAGGTATTACTTCACTGAGACTTTTATATTCCATATCCTGGCTTCTTCCCTCTCTTTCCTTGTACCTGCTCAAAAACCACTCTTGCAAGAAATTGTGGCAATTTTAGTTGGAATAAATTTTTTCGTGTTGTAGGAGAGGACCTGATACTGAGGAAGAAAATCATGCAGTGTTTCAACTGAAAGCTAACTTTGTCTCATTACTTCCCTCTCTATTGATACAAGTCTAGTGGTTTTCAGCTAGAGGGATGCATCATTTTTCACTTTATTTTTAAACAATGTCTAAAACTCAGGTAGAACAGACTGTTCCACAGGCACCCTGTTCTGTGGACAGCCAGGGCAGTTATTTACCAGTAAGAGCAATTCAGCACGTAAAATATATATGAGAGAAGTTGCTGATGGCAAATGGCAAGCACTGCTGAATTATAAAGCCTGACAAAAGAAGGTGGAACTGGAGGAATGTGCCTTCCTGCTCCACCAGGCCCTTTGTCTTGGCTGCGTTCTTCACCTCTTCAAGCACTGCCAGGACTAGGCGTTTCTATGGAGACCAAACAGCATTTAAATGTTTGTACTGTTTGCACTGCGCTTGTGCCACTTGTGGAGGGACGAACCACAGAGGCTGGGCAACCACATTCACACCACGCTCACAGGCACTGCAGAAGCTTGTTCTTCACTCTCTGATGAGGAAACTGATCCTGGACTGGATGTCTTCCGCCTGCTGCATGGCTACCTGCTGGAGCAGGCTGTTGGAGCAGGCTGGCTTTGAGAGATTCGTGATCCAAACCCTCTTCTCGCAGTATGGTCACCTGCACTGCTTTTTTTGCAGTAAACTTTGCGTCAGTGTCTGCATTATGCCTGACCTGGTTTAAGAAGACTTGTTGGACACTACCTCTGTTCCATGGTCTGTCAGAATAGTGTATGGTTTTGTTCTTCAATTCAGTGATCGGTGTCACTCGACCTAATAAAGTCTGTCTGTAATTCTTTGCATCTGGCCTCAGTCCTTACGAACGTGGGTAGCTCGGAGGTGACAAAGTGTGCTGATGATACTACGCACCTTCTTTTCCACGTAGTTACAAACATGCCAAAAAGCACCATGGATCCCGGTAAGATGCTGTTGTGACCTTCTGGTGGTGGGAGGACTGACTGCTTTCTCCTGCCCTTCTTTTCTTGTCTTTTTAGCTTTCTTTTGTCCATATGAGAACCCTTCCTGTGGCCACGCTTTCTTTAAGTACCAAAGTGTCTCTTCAGAGGCTCTTAAAACTTCCAGAAGGAATTTAATATCAATCACAACAGTGTGTGTGTATGAATATGTGTATATATATATACGTGCGTGTGTGTGTGTGTATATATATATAGTATGGTATCACCTTTTAGTGACATTGGACATTTTTTCAGCTGTTCGTTATCACTGAAAGATACATTTCTGTGTGAAATACAAATATTTTAATTAGCTGGTTTTATGTTGTCATCAGATATGGTGATACTAGCATGTATGTATAATTGAAAATCTGGGGACACTGCTGGTTATTCTTCAGTATACTTCAGTATAATTTTATGTAGCAAGATTTCTTTATGCATCTCTACAGAAAAGACAAAGCTGCAAAATGACAGGAGCCAGATAAATAACAAAATCAAGTTTGGGAACACACAAATCGATAGCATTTTTGTAAAGTGGAGTCTAAAAGTTCAGTTATTTAAAACTGCCCTTATTCTTGTGCTGCTTTCTTATCAGGTAGTTCCTAATGAGCTTATTGCAATGGCAGAAAGATACAAACTCTTTCAAGTCAGAAAAGAAACTGAGAAGGTTATACGAAGACCTCAGAGGAAGCCCTCAAAATAACTGTGATCCCCTGAAGTTACTGAAACAGAGTAAGTGCTTATGGTTAGTGTTAGTATCAATGGGCTTGAATTTAGAAGTTTTTTGTCAGTTGATTGTTTTGTGTACCTGTCTGATTTAAATAAATAAAATGTGTTTTAAATAGTGACTTAAAAGAAAACTGGATTAACTTTATATAGAAATAAGTCTAATTTTGTGCTTGGACACTTTTCACTTAAGAATTAATGTCATTATTTTTTCTTGTATGATGTGCATAACTTCTAAAGCCATTATCTACTGATTAAGAACAAATATTGTGAGTTGGTTTGGTGTTTGGGTTTTTTTTTTAATTAAATGCAGTATTAGTATATAAGAATGTAAAATAATTTTTCCTTTTTATTTTCAGAGGACTGGATTAGTGAATGTAAGCAACGTCTGTCAGTGTGGCTTCAAAATGCTGTACTTTTGCATTGCCACATCTGCCAGCGGTGTGCAGTGTTTCCAAGGTTAACTTAGTTATTTGAAAAGTGCTCTGTTTGCAGTAACTGTGCGCTGAAGCAAGTTTTTTTTATTATTATTATTATTTTAAAACTTTGAAAGTTGTTTTTGTTAAGACTTGTGTGTCTAGCTTTTTTTTTTAGACAGAAGTCTGCATTTCCTCCTGATGGAGGAGAGCGTAGCAAGAAGTATGTGTTTGTGGGTGACTGAGGAAGAAAATGGCTTCTACTCTTGTTCTTATGGATGTAATTTTTCTAGCTTAAGAAAAGCAGAGTTTACTGGAGTGATGTTAACAAAGTCATGAAGAAAAATTATATGTGCAGGTCAGCTTTTATTTCTTTCAGGTAGAGCTGATTGAACCTTTGCATTTGGATGTCAGGTTCTGTCACATAGACTGCTAATGATGATGGGGTATGTTTTCATTCTTTGGAAGGAGATATTCCTTCATTTGACACTTGCTCTGAACTTGTGTTTACTCATGTGTCATACAAGTAAATGAAAAACTAATAAACTCAGTTTAGTGAGATGAGAATATTTCAGTAAATTTATTCTCTAAATGGTCTTCCAGCCTTCCCTTTTTTTTTTTTTGTTTGTTCATAATTGAGGTGAAGCCTGGGTGTTATTTAAGCCAGTAGGTTATTTTGCCATCAAAAAGTAGGCTAAAAATACGGACTTCCCTTCTGGCTTCTTTTAAGAAAAAGCAAAAGATGCGTTTACTTACAGCACAGCAGTTCCTAAATGCCGTGTATTTATCACCTGCACAATTATGGTAATAGGAAATATTAAAATTATTTTTGTTCTCCTAATACGCATACTCTTCAACATAAATTTTTATCAGCATTCTGATTCAGAGAATGTCAGATTCATGCTGTATTTTGGTTTTGATAGCCTTTCACGTGGAGACTCTTCCTCTTTGATATGAAGATATATTGTGTGAGTTTGTCACACGAACGCTCATTGGCACAGAAATTTTTGCTCTGTCGCACCACCTCCCATAGTGGTTGCTTCCTGTCCAAAGTCCAGTGAAAAGACTAATTTCCAAAGCAGTTCTGAAGACTCAGAAAAGACGAGTGTCATGGTTTGAGCCCACCCAGCCGGCAGCAAAGCACCCCTCGGTGGGATGGGCAGGAGAAAATACAACCAGAGGGCTGGAGGGTCCAAAGGACAAGGAGGGCTCACTCACCATGGGCAAAAGACAGACTTGACTTGGGGAAAACAACATCAATTTAACTTAAACATCACCACCACCAAGGATAATGAGAAATACAACCAGGTCTTAAAAACACCTTCCCCCTACCCCTCCCTTGTTCCTGGGCTCAGCTCTGCTCCCGATTATCTCTTCCCCTTCCACCCCGCCCCAGCAGCGCAGGGGCCAGGGAATGGCGGTTGCAGTCGGTTCATCACATGCTGTCTCTGCTGCTCCTTCTTCCTCGGGGAGAGGGGACCTCACAGCCCTCCCC